TAAACGGTAAACGGACGTGATACTTCAGTAAAAGTAACCATTATTTCTATTTTACTGCGATTATTTTCTTTTCATTTGATAAATCATCGAGTACTCACGTTTAATACAATACGAAAAAAAATAAAAACCTTATCATTATTCATACATTTAGCGGAATAATTGAAGTATATTTATGATTTCATATTTATTTAATAAACTGTATATCAAGTCTTCTCAAGTGGAAACAGAAATTTTTAATCAAGTGAAATTAGCAAATTAGCTTATATATGCGTTAAAATTAAACATTTTCATTCTAGCGATATAAGTAGTCTATTTACAAAGAAAAGTGAGTTGTTTTTATTGACTCGAGCAAAACGTTTTCTTCCTCTAAATGAGAAACGTTGAAACTTAAAGGAAGTGCTCACTGTAACGAGGTAGAGTTTTGTGGTGCACTCCGAACTCGACTCCGATTCTGACAAAGTGTGGCTTAAAGTAGGGATTGGAGCTGGTGAAGCTAATGAAATTATGCTGAACCTTTTTAGAAAAAATCGCAAAAACTTAATTATGCCATTATTGTTTTGTTTTGTACAATATCTCTTAGTTCAAATAACGTAGACTACAGCTGCTTCACAGCTTATCGACATAGAACTATGAAATTTATCTATTGCTGGAGAGATGAACCACTCTTGATGAAACGGAAAAGTGCATTTGTTTCGGGCAAATAACCTTTCTAACTTAAGTAAAGAAGCATTCAGCAACTTGAGCCCCCACAATTGCATTTTTCACCATAAAAAATTAGGCATTGCTATTTTTTTTAGATTTTAAAAAATACCTTAGATATCTGAGGGTAAATGTATTCGAAAGGAAATTTTTGTGTTTAATCATGGTATTGTACAGATATTTATGTCGTATCTAAATTATCACCTTTGCCTATATTTCTAACTTTAGGAAGATAGTGCCATAACTATAGTTTGGTTGACCGCTTTACTTTTGTCGAAGCCGAGTAGTATAACAGGACAACTCAATGCTGCTACGTTAACATTTCTTAGCTGTTACAAATAAAGACAATGGTCATGTAGGCTCTGCGAAGAAAAAGCTGTTCACAATTGAATCTATTTAACTGGTTAAGTATTTATTACTGTTGAGATAAAAGAGGCAAGTAATCCGCAGGCAATCTTGACTGCTAGAGAGAAGCTAGTGTGCAGTTTCCGATGAGAGAAGTGAATTTTTTTTTTTTGAGGTTAAAATTAAAAAGTCATAGGTGATACGATCTTCCATACAAAAAAGAGTTTATTGTACTTAAAAACAATATTCTCTCAAAACAATAGACATAATTTCATTTTTTACAATACGGTCGGTCCGATTTCATATCCGGATCAGGTGTATAAATAGGACATGAACATCTGCAGAATGTTGGACGTTGTGTTTGTTGATCCAATGGACATTGTACATCGCATCCAGAACATAAATAAACATTCCATGTACCTTCTAAATTATCACATTTATTCGATAGTATTGAACATTCGCCAATTTGTGACCAACTACCGATGTTATCATAATCTGTGTAAGAAAAATAACCTTCAATCATTCAAGTAGACATGAAATAAATATTATCACTTACTTTTAATTCCAGTTCGGACTTTCTTATCTTTTTCACCATACTGACGACGTGCAACAACACGAAATGCGCTTGTTTTATTATTTCTTTCATAACATACAGGTACTTCTGTAGGATCAATTACAGGCTCATTTGTATTCATATCTAATGTTAAACCACAAGCAGTCATCATTGCACCTGTATTGCATAGGGCTAAAATATTAGTATTTGATAATCCTTCTGAACATTTTTCATATGTTTCTAGAGTTATATCATTTCCCACTGTCCAATCATAGCCGGCTGTTTGAACAATAACATTAGCTCTTAATTTCATGTTCATTCGTTCATTATGAATTTGTTCTGCTTGCATTTGTTGAATACTGGATGTAGCATTCATACGAATTTCAATTGCTCGTTTTAAATTTTCCTTTATTGTCGTCCAATTTGCAGGTATGAAATCATACCATGGTAAATGTTTAATAACTGATAAAAGAGCAGGATCGTAAACAATTGTTTTTTTCCATTCACTTGTATCATTCAGGAGAACCGTATTACCACCAATACGATGATCGATTAATTTTTTTCGCCTAGCATAGTAAAAGGCATCTAAACAAGGATTTGATTGTAGAAGTTCTTCTTTTAAATTTTCTTTAAACGTCGATTCTTCTAAACCATTAGATATTTCCGAAGAACGAATTGTACAACTTTTAAATAATATTTGTTGTTCAGTCATACCACCGACGTTCGTTGAAACAGTAATATGTGTTCCCCAAGCATCTAAAAAACGTTGATAGAGACTTTCATTGTATTGTAATGTTAATATATTTATAGCCCTTTGTGCATATTTATTCAGTTTTATTAGATTATTATTTATAGTTAGAGTGTGGATTGTCTTAAAATCTTGTGATATGGCTGTTGCTTGATTATCTTTAAAGTAATTATCATACAAATTAGAAATATTTTTTATATCAGCCAGTTGTCCTCCGGACCATCCTCCGGATTCAGCATTACGCAGCCAAACATCGGCAAGTTCAGTTTCCGTACGAAATATCCGAATGATAATCGATGAATTATTATTATTATCCGAAGATGAAACTGTATCAGTCAACAGTATCTCCGAGGGAACAATGAATGTTTGTCCAGATTCTCGATCGGTCCATAATCGACTACCTTTATTAAAGGTAAATTCTAATGCAGGTAATTTCAAAGCGCCAGTACTCACATCAATAGTTATACCAACACCAGTTGGTAAAGGCAATGGACCTATGTTTGCTGCTTTCGAACGAATTTGCAACGGAGTTAATGTTTCATTAATACCGGGACAGAATTGTCCATGAAATCCAACAATTGGGCATAAGGCCTTTTGTGCACTGGTTAAATCGAATAAATCAGATTCGTTTAGATTTGGAAAAGCATGAATGGTTATGATAGACGTTATGATTAGACAGAAGAAGAAAACCGATTGATAGTTTAGCATTGTATTTGTAACACTGTATGTATGAATTTAAGCTTGACTTCATCTGATGACGGTAAGGAAAGAGCGAATAAATTAGTATTTATTTAGTTTATTGATGCATAAGGAAGTTGTTAATGTTTCTTGTTTTTTTCACCACTCACACAACGAAATACTCAGAAGTTTATCGAGTATATAAGTATTTTTTTTCTTTCGTTTCATTCCGCTTATTACATGATCAAATGTGTCTTGCTGAGTGCGTGTAAACTTTGTTTTTGTTATTCAGTTATACAATGAATCAAAAATTGTTTATTATTCTATGCTTTTTATCAGTGACAGCTGGTGATGAGAAAGTTTTGCCAGGTCTTGATTATCTCACAACTGGATTTGATGCGATAAAAATGATTAACACAATCGAAGATATATCATCATCGGATCAATTAAAATTTCGTTTATTTGATATTGATAATGTACGTCGTGGAAAAAATTATACATGGAATTCAAATGGTGTATTACAAACATTTAGTACTCCAAGTTTTGTTAAAGTAAATGATATTGGTATGAGAACTGAAGTTGATGTTGAATCAGTTAGTTCCAGTTACGAACAATTTTACGACAAGTAAGACTAAGAATTGTAAGTTATTAGGCATATGCATCAAGTTCGCAATTACATTGCATTTTTCAAGACTTGAAGGGCTCATCGACGAGCTGCAGAGGTAATACTGACACTTACTGGATAAAAAAGCCACAGTCGAGATGGAAGCGAGCAGACTGAGTGGTTTTCGTATAGTATACACTACTCTAAGAATCTTTTTTATAACCTTGTACTGCTGTACACTATAACTTTGCCACTCAGCTCCTATTTTAACCTGCGAAGTTCCTATCCTACTCCTGCTAGGCAACATATCTCGCAAACATCGAACTCGAAGATCGGCTTCTCTCTATTTTAGAAACTTAGAAAGAATATCAACATTTTATTGCAAGTTATTTAATATGCAGCTGTCTGAAAGATCTCTGTGTAATCGGTACCACTGAAACTCATTCAACTACTTTAGTTCAGCATACATAGCTAGAACTGTTGTGCATCAAAACTTTAGACTTTCCTAGTACTTCGCTTAAAATTTTTGCGCACCGCATGGCTAAGGTGCCCTACCCATTTTTCGAGGTAGAGATACGCGCAAATAGCAACGTCCTTTATTATCTTGCGTTTTCTAAGGGTAATTCTTATTGCTTGCACAATACTTAAAAACATCATTCCTACAATAATGCGGCGTCTGTCCGAATCGAAACTGTTATGAGAATGAACTAGTCCACCTTGAGGCACCATCAACACAAGCCTCCCTAAACTCTTTTTTCTCAGTACTCATGACTCAATTTTTGTTCAAAGCATTTGATTTGTTCGTACTTCTAATGATGAATTGTTTACACGTTTAGCTATTTTAAGTCGTTTGGATTCGATCTCTCAATTCCAGTTCCAATTAAAGGAGTTCCTTTTGAATTATCATTTGGTTATCATGGGACACTACGATCAGCGTATGAAGCTATAACGAAAGAAGCAACTACGATCGCTATATCGACTGATTGGTGGGGAATGTATTCAATACAATTGGCACCAGTATATATATTGCCGTATGTAGTTTTTGTATGCTATCATGCAGATGTTAAACTCAAGACTAAAAATAATCCTACCACATTTTAGATTTGATCCATTATTTAATCTAAGTCTCTCAAAACTGGTTGCCAATCCAAAAACGAAAAGACAACAAGCTTATTACAATCAAATTGTTTCAACATACGGTACACATTATGTATCATCTGTTATTGTTGGTGGTCTTGCTGAAATGTATACATTTGTTAAAAATGAATATCGAAATCAATATGATGAATCATCGTTTGAACATGAAATTTCTGTCGGGTTTAAACTAGCTGAAGTTAGCTTAGGTAAAACAACTAGCCTCTCATTTGGTAATTCAGAAGGTTTAGGCGTATCAGGTGAATTTAGTTGGGGCGATGATAAAAAACAATTAACAATTGAGTTTCGTGAAAGGTCTAAAATGTTACTAAAATTTTTACCACCACTTATTAATACATTGAATGGATCATTAATATGGCACACATGGATCGATTTGGCATCAAAATATCCAGGTGTAATAAATCGAACATTATCTAGTTTAGCTAATCTGTTAATTAACTATCCAGTTAAAATTCAGGATCATTCTAATGACGAAGTAGACGGAGACAGATCATTGATAAAAATGAGGACGAGCAGGGGTCCCAAAATAGACCCCTGAGGCACACCAGAAAGGATATATGCTACATTAGAAAGGGTAGTTCCTATCTTTACATGTTGTGAGCGACCCTTTAGATAAGATATAAACCAATTGAGAAGT